GTTGTTTTTTTTTCAGTTTGAGAGAAGAACTCAGACTCAGTATGCAGGGTTGGCGAGTGTGTGAATGAAACAAAATAAAACACGACTCCAGGTTTGTCTGTGACGACGAAACTACATTAGAACGGATCAGAAAACAGCGCAATATGAGCCCTTTAATGTCATTTATCCACAACTAACAAGGTAAGAAAGACAAAATCTTAAAGGAGAACAACAACGACGCATTAGTGACACACTGAACTAAACTAATGTTATGGTCTGAGAGATGTTTCGCACTCAAACTGCTCAAAACTCTCTTCAAATCTATGTTAATATCGACATCATGAAAGCGATTTTTAATTTTATTTGTGTTATCAGTCTGAGTGAACAAGTTCCTTCTGTTTTATTCATGATCGTAACATTAGTTTTGTTGAGTTTGTCACTAATGCGTCGTCGTTGTTTCCTTTAAGTTTTCGTATTTCTTCTCTTGATATTAGGGGTGTGCATTGGCTTGAGTCTGACAATACGATACATATCATGATTCTGCATGTCACGATTCAGTAAATCACGATATAAATAAAGCAAAACAGGTTACACAGGTCTCCAGGAAGAAAAGGTGATAGTTATGGTCAATTAAATACAATCAATCAGTGAACCTGCCCAGGGACGACAGGAGGAAATTAGTTCTAGTGCTACAACCTGATGTACAATGCATCTCTGCTGTTAAGGTTCATGTGTGTCTGTCCCTGTCTCATTCAATAAACTGAACTAAAATTAAACTAAACTAAACTAAAACTAAACTAAAACTAAACTAAAAAAACTAAAACTAAAACTAAAACTAAAACTAAAACTAAAACTAAAAAACTAAACTAAACTAAACTAAACCTAAACCTAAACTAAACCTAAACTAAACCTAAAACTAAAGCTAAAACTAAACTAAACCTAAACTAAACCTAAAACTAAACCTAAAACTAAATTAAACTAAACTAAAACTTTCTAAAACTAAAACTTAACTAAAACTAAAACTAAACCAAAAACTAAACTAAACTAAACTAAACTCTAAACAACTAAACTAAACTAAACCTAAACTAAACTAAAACTAAACCTAAACTAAACTAAACTAAACTAAAACTAAACTAAAACTAAACCTAAACTAAACTAAACCTAAACTAAACTAAACCTAAAACTAAACTAAAACAAAACTTAACTAAAACTAAATTAACTTAAACTAAACTAAACCTAAACTTAAACTAAACTAAACTTAAACCTAAACTAAACAAAACTAAACCTAAAACTAAACCTAAACATATATCCAGATACTAAAACAATGAATGATATATTGCAATTTATCATTAATTCCTTCTAATAATACAGTCAAGGACACTTTCAAGAAAACACAATTGTATGAAATATAAGGTATTCATTTATTTATATATTTTTTTAAATCATGAGAACAGTGAATGCAACTAATGAATTTATGTGAAAAATATTTTTAAAAATCGATTCGGATCAATTCTGTATCGATATCGAGAATGGTGCAATGTTGTATCACGATATATCACTGAATCTTGATAGTTGTGGATAAATTGTTCATGTTAGAATGTTTATCTTTTATGGATCTTGTTGGCAGATCTGTAGCCAGGCTCGTTCCACCTAATGTCTCCGCTCAATTTCATTTCTCTCCAGAGACTAGATCATGAATCAGAATACACTAGACCAGTGGTGGGCAAACTACGGCCCGGGGACCATAAGCGGCCCTTTAATCTTTTTTAATCCAGCCCACTGAACTTGAATAATAATAATAATAATATGAAGTGTTTTAAAAGTCATTTCAATAAATAGTAAATACCGTGGAACTTGAAAGGCAGATATTTTATTGTAATACTTCGGAATGATTTTCAATTTATGGGATATTTCAATAACATGAGATATGTTTTCTATATATCCCATGTTATTTTTTTCTCTTATGAGGTGGATTACCAAAAAACTCCATCCATCTGCTCCTGGTGCGGCCCTTCCGTCAAATTTCAGAACCTTTTGTGGCCCACGAGTCAAAAAGGTTGCCCACCCTGCAACTAGAAACATGTTAAAGAATGTTTATGATTTTATCAAGGGGAGAGACGTTATTGTCCTTCTTCCTGTGAGATTTGGGAAAAGCATAATGTGACCAATTAGCAGCGATTGGTTAAATAAATAAAAAAGTACCGTCGAGCGAACGAATCCTAATGCTCCAACGTCAGACGGTTTCTACGAACTGAAACTTGATCAATCAGGCTATAGCAGATTTATGAAGCTGGTGGAGAATGACACACATTTACACACACATTTTACCATAAAAAAAACATTAACCAGAAGATCGACAGACCTACAGCAGGACACTTTCAGCAGTTCTATTGGCTAATCCAGCTGTCAATCATCTGAACTCTGGGAGATTCTCTGATAACCTCACGTCTTCGTAACGTATCAGAAAAGTGTGTATTCTGGATTCTAATCAAACAAATACACCGTTTAATAGCGCTTTTCTTAATAAATAGTTAGTGTGGAAGTGGCGTCGAGTTCTTTTGAAGAAGCAGGAATTTGCCCAAATAGAAAAAAAAAAAAAAACACACAAATGAATCCTCTTGTGAGCGCGGATATAAAGCAGAATATAAAAGTTGTGATAGCTACAGGCCCGGTCTAATGAAGGGTCCGCTCTGCCTTCTGCGCCGCGGGAGTCCACTTTCTCCACACGCCACTTTGACACTTGAATGAGCATTTAAAGTGACGCAACGTGAAGAAAGATGAGAGGAGGAAGAGGAAGGGGGAAAAAAAAAAACGAGAAAAAAAAAAAAATCACCACTCGAGTCTGACCGGGGCTTACGTACAGTCACGGATATCAGCGTCTGACAAGCAGAATGGACCCACGCTAATAAGTGTCAGAGATGATGTAATGTACGCTCTAATTGAAAATATCAGGGCGAGAAAAGAGGAGAGCTGAAAGAAAAATGAGCACAAACATAATCAGGGGAGACAGAGAGGAGATGTGTAATTAGAGAAGAAGAAGGCGTCCGAGAGCAATTAACTGGAAATGGAAAGTTACGGCGCGGGGATCATAATATTTGACAGGTCAGAGACGTGCAGACAGGAGCCGGAGACGACGACGACGAGTGCGGAAGGAAGGAGCAGAACATATATGAACGGGTTTGAGGCTTGTACAAGTGTTTCCAGTCACGTTAATTTTGTTTGAGAGCGAGGAAGGGTTGTCAAAAGTATCGAAAATCTGATTCTTATCGATGTTGAAACTAGTATCGAAGCAAGAAACTCATTTGGGCAAGTTTCGAAACTGAAAAAGTCACGTTCGCGAGACGAAAATGAACCTTTTTTTCTTTCCAAACGAATTCCGGCTCGAGCGTCCCCCTGGATCGAAAGTCCCGGCTTTTATTGTTTGTTTTTAAAGCTTTGAATGGACTGATCCCAGAGTATGTCTCAGACCAGATCCAGATTTACACCCCCGTAAGCGCTCTGAGGTACGAGGTCCAGCTGCAGCTCGTGGTGCCTAAGACGAGACGTAAAACCAGGAGGACAGGACCTTCTTTGTGACCGGCCCCAAACTCTGGAACGCTCTGCCCCCCCACGTCCCAACAGCCCCCACAGTGGAGAGTTTTAAGTCTCGTCTTAACTCTTTCCCCCATGAAGACGACATTTGACGACCCCCCCCTTGTTTCCTTAATGACGTGTTTTGACTCCTCCCCTGTTTCACTAAAGACGTGATTTGACGACCATTAGAAACGGCTCGTTTTTTAACATGTAAACAGAGACTGTGATCGGTCGGGGCCACTACAACCCACACTAGACTGACCAATAGGATTCAAGGATATGTTTTCGCCAATTTTTCCTGAAGTTAATCGAAGTAGTGATGATTGTCGCTTTCGGAAAATACACAACACGAAACACGTGCAATGGAAAGATCGCTGCGGCGCACAGTTTTAGAAATAATGAGTGGACGTATTTTATGGATAAGTTTAGAGAAAGTCACTTTTATAGATTTCAAAGTGATGATGAAGTTGATTATAAAGTGGAAAACAGCGACAGTGACGGACTTACAGAGTGTGAAACTTATGAAGATGAGAATGTTGATGATGCGTCTGTTACGAAGTCTTGCGATGTCCAAACAAACTATCAGGGACTTTATACTCGATTATGAACCAAAATTGCCTCAAAATCTGGATGTTGCTCAGGCCAGTCCTTTAAAATATTTCAGTCTTTTTTTCCAAGATGTGATGTATAACAGAATCACTACAGAAACAAAACGCTCATGTGGGAGCTCTGCGCACGAGAAAGAAACCAAGATGACAAAATACTGAACACACACTGACGGGGAAGAGTTTTCATTATTATATTTATTATATTATAATAAGATAAATGAGTTGAAGTTAAATGGAAAAAATGAATCAGGTCCACACAGGTGAACAACAGGTAAAAACAGGTGCACACTTGGCTTTACTGTATCTGGTGATATGAAATCTGTTTAAATACTTTGACAAACTATATTTTTCATTTTTTTATGAATATAGTATCAGAACATGCAGATATCAGATGCTGAATGTATTTTTTTTGTTTTCGATTTTGCACCTGACCAGGTAAACTCTCATTTTCAGTGAGCTGTTATAAACCTGTAAATGAGTTGAATCACATTTAAACATCCAGAAATGAAGAGTTCAGAGTCTAAGTTTCCAGAGATACAAATATGTCTGTGTTTTAATTAAGTTTCATGAGTGTAAAAATCATTTATAATCACTCTCGTCTGTTTTCTTTTATGCAGCTCTAGTCATATATGTATGTGTTGTTCTTAGTCGGGTCCTGGGGGGAAAGAGTTAAAGAAAAAGCACAAAATGCATCTTCAGGAGCCTGCGGTCGGTCCGAGCATTTGTGATTCTGCTCCAGAGTTTGATTTTTGACCAAAAGCTGAGAGCGAGAAGTGAAAAAACCGCGACATCGCCTGCGAAGCACCAACAGAACGTGGCGACCCGTGTTTGAGCGTGTACCTGGCAGACGTCGGAGCGGATCCCGGTTTTCCAGAAGCCCTGACTGCTCAGCTCCACCGTCACCTCCCGCCTCATCGTGTTCTTCTGACGGATCTTCTGCAGGGCCTCCTGTTTAAAGACACAAACACACGCACTGCATCAGACTTTTTTATTTATTTAAAACAGCAAACTGACTCCTGTGGATCATTCTGTTATAGTTTGAACATTTTAAATCACAATATTGATCTAAAACGACTTCATAAAGGAAACTCAGACTCCTCAAACATGCACAAATCACTCAAAATACAACTTCTCTCTTTCTTTGTCTCTTGGTTTCATCCCCCTTTCTCTCCTCTCTTCTCCCCTCTCCGTCTCTCTCTTCTCCCTCCGTCTCTCTCTTCTCCCTCCCGTCTCTCTCTTCTCCCCTCTCTGTCTCTCTCTTCTCCCCTCTCCGTCTCTCTCTTCTCCCTCTCTGTCTCTCTCTTCTCCCTCCCGTCTCTCTCTCTTCTCCCCTCTCCGTCTCTCTCTTCTCCCCTCTCCGTCTCTCTCTTCTCCCCTCTCCGTCTCTCTCTTCTCCCCTCTCCTCTCTCTCTCTCTTCTCCCCTCTGTCTCTCTCTTCTCCCCTCTCTGTCTCTCTCTTCTCCCTTCTGTCTCTCTCTTCTCCTCTCCCGTCTCTCTCTCCTCTCTCTCTCTCCCTCTGCTCTCTCTCTCTCTCTGTCTCTCCTCTCTCCCTCCCGTCTCTCTCTTCTCTCTCTCTCTCTCTCACTCCGTCTCTCTCTTCTCCCCTCTGTCTCTCTCTCTCTTCTCCCTCTCTGTCTCTCTCTTCTCCCTCCGTCTCTCTCTTCTCCCCTCTCCGTCTCTCTCTTCTCCCCTCTCTGTCTCTCTCTTCTCTCTCTCTCTCTCTCTCTCTCTCTCTCTCTCTCTCTACTTCTCCCCTCTCCGTCTCTCTCTTTCTCCCCTCTCGTCTGTCTTCTCCCTCTCTCCTCTCTCTCTCCGTCCCTCTCCGTCTCTCTTCTCCCCTCTCCGTCTCTCTCTTCTCCCTCTCTCCGTCTCTCTCTCTCTCTCCCCCTCCGTCTCTCTCTCTCTCCCCTCTCCGTTCTCTCTCTCTCCTCCTCTCTTCTCTCTCTCTCCCCTCTCGTCTCTCTCTTCTCCCCTCTTCTGTCTCTCTCTCTCCCCTCTCCCTCTCTCTCCCCTCCCGTCTCTCTCTTCTCCCCTCTCCGTCTCTCCTTTCTCCCCTCTCTGTCTCTCCTTCTCCTCTCCCGTCTCCTCTCTTCTCTCTCTGTCTCTCTCTCCCCCTCTCTCTCTTCTCCCTCTCCCCTCTCTCTTCTCTCCTCTCTCTCTCTCTCCCCTCCCGTTCTCTCTCTCCCCTCTGTGTCTCTCTCTCTCTCCCTCTCTGTCCTCCTCCCCTCCCGTTCTCTCTCTTCTCCTCCTCTCTGTCTCTCTCTTCTCCCTCCCGTCTCTTCTCTCTCTCCTCTCTCTCTCCTCTCTCTCTCTTCTCCCCTCTCCGTCTCTCTCTTCTTCTCTCCGTCTCTCTCTTCTCCCTCTCTCTCTCCTCTCTTCTCCTCTCTTCTCTCTCTTCTCCCTCTCGTCTCTCTCTTCTCCCCTCTCTGTCTCTCTCTTCTCCCTCTGTCCTCCTCTCTGTCTCTCTCTCTCCTCTCTCTCTCTTCTCCTCTCTCCCTCTCTTCTCTCTTCTCTTCTCTCCCTCTCTCTCTCTCTTCTCTCTCTCTCTCTCTCTTCCTCTCTCTCTCTCCTCTCTCTCTCTCTCCTCTGTCTCTCTCTTCTCCCTCTCCTTCTCTCTCGTCTCTCTTCTCTCTCTCTCCTCTCTCTCTCTCTCTCTTCTCCTCCCGTCTCTCTCTCTCTCTCTTCTCTCCCTCTCTGCCTCTCTCTCTCTCTCCTCTCTCTCTGTCTCTCCTCTCTCTCTCTCTCTTCTTCTCCCTCTCTCTCTCTCTCTCCCCTCTCTCTCTCTCTCTTCTCCCCTCTCTCTCTCTCTCTCTCTCTCTCTCTCCTCTCTTCTCCCCTCCCGTCTCTCTCTTCTCCCCTCCCTGTCTCTCTCTTCTCCCCTCTCAGTCTCTCTCCCTCCCTGTCTCTCCTTCTCCCTCTCTGTCTCTCTCTCTCTTCCCTCTCCGTCTCTCTCTTCTCCCTCTCTGTCTCTCTCTTCTCCCCTCCCGTCTCTCTCTTCTCCCCTCCCGTCTCTCTCTTCTCCCCTCTCTGTCTCTCTCTTCTCCCCTCTCTGTCTCTCTCTTCTCCCCTCTCTGTCTCTCTCTTCTCCCCTCCCTGTCTCTCTCTCTCTCTTCTCCCCTCTCTGTCTCTCTCTTCTCCCCTCCTGTCTCTCTCTTCTCCCCTCCCTGTCTCTCTCTTCTCCCTCTCCCTGTCTCTCTCTTCTCCCTCTCTCTCTTCTCCCCTCCCGTCCCTCTCTCTCTCCCTCTCTCTCTCTCTCTCTCTTCTCCCTCCCGTCTCTCTCTTCTCCCTCCCATCTCTCTCTTCTCCCCTCTGTCTCTCTCTTCTCCCCTCTCAGTCTCTCTCTTCTCCCCTCTCAGTCTCTCTCTTCTCCCCTTCTGTCTCTCTCTTCTCCCCTCTCTCTCTCTCTTCTCCCCCTCTCTGTCTCTCTCTTCTCCCCTCTCTGTCTCTCTCTTCTCCCCTCTCCGTCTCTCTCTTCTCCCCTCTCTCTCTCTCTTCTCCCCTCTCGTCTCTCTCTTCTCCCCTTTGTGTCCATCTCTCACTCTGTCTCTTTCCTCCCTCTTTCTCTCCTCTCATCTTCCTTCTTTGTCTACCTCTCCTCCACGTTCCTCTCCTCCTTCCCCCCCCCCCCGGTCTCTCTTTCTCTTTCCTCTCCCCCCCCCCCCCCGTCTCTCTTTCTCTTTCCTCTCCCTTCCTCTCCTCTCATCCCTCCTCCACCTTCCTCTCCCCCCGTCTCTCTTTCTCTTTCCTCCCCCTTTCTTTCCTCTCATCTTCCTTCTTTGTCTCTCTTCTTTCCCCCCGTCTCCAGCTCTCTCTTGCTTTGTCTCTCTCTTTCCTCCCCCTTTCTCTCCTCTCTCCGCCCTCTTTCTTTTGTCTCATTCATCCCCCTTTCCTCTCCTCTCATCTCCCCGTCTCCATCTCTGTCTCTCCATTTCCTCACCCTTTCTCCCCCCCTCTCTCTCTCTCTTTTCCATATTCCCTTTCTCTCTCCAACTCTCTCTCTCTTTTCTCCCCCCTTCTCCATTTCTTTCTGTTTGTAACTCACTTTCCTCCCCCTTCCCCTCTCTCTCTCTCCTCCCTCTCTCTCTCCTCCCTCTTTTCTCTCTCCTCCCTCTTTTCTCTCTCGTTCTGTGGGCAGGATGTGGCACATGCAACCCCCTGAAACCTGCGTCTCTGAGTTTCTGCGTCTCTGTTTCTGAATAAAAAACGACGTTCACATGTTTAAAAACTGAACGACAGGAACAGTTCTTCTGGAGGGACCTGGTCGAGGTAAAACACGAGTTAGAAAGACATTTACAAAAAGAGACGACGGAAGAAAAGGACAATAACTCGTAAAATAACAACAAAACATCACTCAGGAACGACATCAGTCAAGAGGAAGAAGGAAAAACTCAAAAACACTTTTACAGACTCTTGTGCCACGTGTTTACTTCATGTCTCTACACTCGTCTACCCCTCACTCTCTCTTCCCTCTCTTCTCTTCTCCTCTTTCTCTTTTCTGCCTTTCTCTCTCCTCCATCTGTCTCTTTCTTTCTCTCTGTCCTCCTCCTCCTCCCTCTCCTCTCCCCACCCTTTCTCTCCTGTCTTCCTCCACCCCTCTCTCTCCCCTCTCCTCTTCCCTTCCGTTCTCTCACCCTCTCCTCCACCTTTTACTCCTCTCTCTCTTGCCTCTCTCCTAATGTCTCCACTCTCCTCTCACCCTCTCCTCCACTTTTCTCTCCTCTTCTCCCCTCCCTCTCTCTCTGTCTTCTATCTCCTCCTGTTTCTCATTCTCTCTCTTCTCCCCTTTTCTGCCGTTCTCTCTCCTCCATCTGTCTCCAACTCTGTCTCTTTCTTTGTCTCTCTGTCCTCCACACCTTTCTTTCCTCTCCCCCTCCTCCTCTCACCCTCTCTTCCCCCTTTCTCTCCTCTCTTCTTCCACCCCTTCCCCCTCCTCTCCTCTCTTCTCCCTTCTCACCCTCTCCTCCACTTTTCTCTCCTCCGTCTACCCCCTTTCTCTCCTCTTCTCCCCTCTCTCTCTGTCTTCTCTGTCTCCTGCTCTCTCTTTCTCATTCTCTCTCTTCTCCCCCTTTCTGCCCTTCTCTCTCCCTCATCTGTCTCCACTCTCTGTCTCTCTCTGTCTCTGTTCTCCCATTCTTTCCTCTTCCTCCCTCTCTTCCCTTCTTCCCCTCTTCTTCTTCCACCCCCCCTCTCTTCTCACCCTCTCCTCCACCTTTTCCTCCTCCATCTCCCCCTTTCACTCATCGTCTCCCCTCCCTCTCTCTCTGTCTCCTCCTTTCTCTCCTCTCTTCTTCCACTCCCTCTTTCTGCACCTCCCCCTCTCTCTACTCTCCTCTCACCTTCTCTCTCCTCACCCTCTCCTTCACCTTTTTCTCCTCCGTCTCCCCCTTTCTCTCCTCTTCTCCCTCTCTCTCTCCTTTCTCTCCTCTTCTCCCTCTCTCTCTCCTCTTCTCTATCTCTCTCTCCTTTCTCTCCTCTTCTCCCTATCTCTCTCTTTCTCTCCTCTTCTCTATCTCTCTGTCCTCTTCTCCCTCTATCTCTCTCTCCTTTCTCTCTTCTTCTCCCTCTCTCTCTGCTCTTCTCTCTCTCTCCTTTCTCTCCTTTCTCCCTATCTCTCTCTTTCTCTCCTCTTCTCTCTCTCCTTCCTCTCTCTCCTTTCTCTCCTCTTCTCCCTCTCTCCTTTCTCTCCTCTTCTCCCTCTCTCCTCTTCTCCCTCTCTTCTCCCTCTTTCTCCTCTTCTACCTCTCTCTCCTTTCTCTCCTCTTCTCCCTCTCTCTCTCTCCTTTCTCCCTCTCTCTCCTCTCTTCTCCCCTTCTCTCCTCTCACCCACCTCTCTCTCTTTCTATCCTCTTCTCCCTTCCCTCTCTGTCGCTCTCTCTCTCTTTGTCTCTCTTTCTCCCCCCTTTCTCTCCGTTCATCTCCCCCCTTTGTCTCTCTCTCTCTCTCCTTTC